AAGTCTCTGGCTTGATGCGGCCCTTTCTTTTCTCTAGGATAGAAAGGCTGTATTGACCATTTGAATTCTACTTTTCATAATAGAAACATAAATTACAACTAGCTTTGGAGATAGACTTTGCTTAATCTCTATTTCACTTTGTAGACAAATTCATCCCAGTTTTGAGACATTTTCACAGACTGGAGAAGGTCACTGTGCCCCAGTTCAATTGTCTTTGCCATTTCCAAGAGGAACAAAACTGACACTCTTCTTGTAAAGAACAAAACACCGTGGTGTCTAGAGGACAAGAATATGTAACAGCAGCTAAACACACTTCAAACTTTTTTTTTCTCCCTTTTCCCCTACTTTTTACCTTACATCGGATATATCTGAGGTTAGATGTCTGATAGAAAAGAACTTCTAGCTTTTACAGCAACAAGAATTCAAAACCCAACTAGACACAGTCCTGGGCTGACCCTGCTTAAGCAGGGGGTTGGACTAGATTTCCAGAGGTCTCTTCAACCTGAGCGATTCTGTGCTTCTGTAAAGTGACTGGCCAAAATCTTCCAGTCCACTACTTAATCTGAATTAGTCACTCTAGCGTGACATGCTCCATCAACACACAAGGTAAAAACAGCAAAACAAGACAGGAAAGAAACTTTGAAAGCTAACCAGGGGGTCAGGACTGCAGACTAAAAAGCCAAGCCAGTACCAAGAATTTGTTAAGAATGGTAAAATTATTAAAGAGATGATGATGATGATGGTCACACTGAACAGCATTAGGAGTGTGCAGTATCTTATTTCCCCAAAATGTCCTTCCTTGAGCCCAACATTACAAAAGTCCAGTGCTCTGCTCCAAGGCTCTGCCCTCTGAACGACGATACAATATTGGCAGAACCAGCATGGTTACAAACAGAAGCAGGAGGAGTAAAAAAGGATGGATTGTCTACCATAGCAAAAGAGACGACTAGATGTGATAATTATATGATTGGATTGTATCACATTTCCCTGCTTTTTTCCCTTCATTTGTGCATTTTACCTTGAGGTAAAATTGCACTATACTCTCATTAAAAAGATTATATATGAGATAAAAGTCTGACCAGAAGAACATGTAATGCACAGAGACCAGCGAAAATGCTAGGTTTATGAGGAGGGTACCAGGTTCTATAGCTAGTGAAAATTAACTTTGTTTTCCACTGCAGGAACATCTCCTGCACAAAACCATTAATTCACTTTTTGAGGCCAAGCATGAATTCCTTTTTTAAGGCAATAAGTGAAAAGTGAGATAACAACACAAAATTCAGCTCCTCATTTGAATATTACTGTGCTGAAAGTAGGACAAAGGCACTGTCCCCACCCCCCCCCGAAAAAAAAAAAAGTCCTGACCTCAGTGAAATGGAAGTGGATGAGAAGTGGACATTTTTAGGTTGCTCTGAGCAAGTATTTCACAGAGAAGAAATACTGACTGGAAATAGATTACATCACTGCAATTAGTGTGAACAGTCCTACCATCAGAAACCATTAAAATAATTATTTGTGGTAACACCTTAGTCAATTTGCCTTTATTTACATTGAAAGAAGGATGCTTTGGTATAGAAATCTCGATACTTTGAACTAAATTAAGAGATTTATCCTGGTTGATACAAAACAGTTTCCTGAGTTGCCTACTTAAGTTGACAGCCACAAAGCCACTGCATTTCCCCTATAGTGGCGAAGGTGCAACTTAATTTCTTAAACACAGAATCAAAGAATGGTTTGGGTTGGAAGCGACCTTCAAGACCATCAAGTTCCAAGCCCCCTGCCATGGGCAGGGACACCTTCCACTACACTAGCTTGCTCAAAGCCTCATCCAACCTGGCCTTGAACACCTCCAGGGATGAGGCAGCCACAACTTCTCTGGGCAACCTGGTCCAGTGCCTCACCACCCTCAGAGGGAAGAATTTCTGCCTCAGATCTCATAGAAATCTCCCCTCTTTCAGTTTAAAGCCATTGCCCCATGTCCTGTCACTACACGCCCTTGTCCAAAGTCCCTTTCCAGCTTTCTTGTAGCCCCTTTAGGTACTGGAAGGCTGCTGGAAGGTCCCCCCAGAGCCTTATCTTCTTACCCCAACTCTCTCACACCCTGTCTCCCTAGCAGACGTGCTCCAGCCCTTAGATCATCTTCATGGCTTCCTCTGGACCCGTTCCATCAAGTCTGAGGCCAGAGGAGGGCCCTGAAGATAATATTAGATACATTGTATATACTGTATATAATGTAAATAAATCTCACCTTTCAATGTAGTAGTTGTTTTTCTTTGCTAAAGGACACTCAAGGAAACAATATTCACTCCACTCGAGTTTTGACGGCTCATCTCAGAGCTCATCTGAGCCCTCACAATCATGGTACAAGAGGGGCGACTGCTGCCTGTTTTACCTGCCGTTGCCGCCCAGGCAACAGATAAAGCTACTGCCTGAACCACAGCAGCCCATGATGCTACAGGAAACTGAGTTCTGGGATGTGCTCATGGGGAGAAAGCTGCTGCTAGCTTTTACAAACCCATCACCCCCTCAGTCTCTCCCAGAAACATGGAGCGCAGAGGACACTGAGGGCAAGGTAAGGTAACACGAGCTCCTTTTTGCCCTGCACCTCCTCCTCAAAGAGAGGGAATACTGGATATTGATTTCCTGTCTTTGTGACAAAAAAGTTTTTATTTTACAAGGAAAGCAACAGATGCCTCCCAGAGCTGACAAATAACCATAACGATACGTAGCCAGGTCAACTCAGGAAACATCCAGGTAACCCGAAATCAAGAACGGAGCATAAAGTTATCTTGTTGCTTCCTCCATTTTGTGGTCTTCTAAGGAGTATTTAGCCCTTTAGGTAGCCAAAGAAACATGATGTCTATTCTTCCTTTGAACACCAGCTGCTGAGGCCCTCTTCGGTTTAGCAGCAGCCAGGAGAATCTGCAGCAAATTATTAACCCCGCGGTATCTCCCGCATGAAGCAGTCCCACAGGAGGGAGGCAGGGAGGCATGCCTGCAGCAGCTGCCGTCTCCAACTCCCCCATTAGCAATTTTGCAGAACGAGTTACTGTGGCATCATGCTCTGATGGCAAAGATGATGTAACGGTTGAACAGACTAATGAATTTTTAACCTCAGATTTGCTGGTGTTGGAGAAAGTGTGCCTATGCAAGCAGCAAATTCCAGCTACCGCAAGGTTTGCACATAAAACCTATGTCCACTGTGGAATCAACTACAGCTCTCAATTTAGGACAGTCTAATCTCAGACATTGATATTCAAATATTTGAAGTTAAGCTAAATATCATCAAGGCTTCCAAAAAATATGGTCTTATTTTGCAAGTAAGTGATACTCTCCACAAAGCTTTACATTTTCCCCTAATTTAATACAAAGTTTTACTAGCATGATCTAAGGATAAAATTATTTTTCCCCACAGTTTTGGAAATTTGTTTCAATTATAAGTCTGGGTAGTTTAATTAGGGAAGCATATTTAGTTAAAAAAAAAAATGGATGGGTTAGAAGAAAAACCCTTCTAATACTCCCTAGGGTCTACGGGTCCTTCAACCCAATTTTATGTGAATGAAACCATTATTGTTCTTTTGACTCCCGCTGAGCCATTATGTTAACGGTTTTCCAGAGATTTGAGTAGCATTTTACTACATGTTTTCATTATTCCACTAGCCAGGATTTTGGTCCTTAGACATCAGAAGTTTCAAACTTTAAAATAGTTTTTGTTCAACATTCTGAGAAAGCAATATCCTTTTGATTTTATAGATTATTACACACATTTTAGACTGGTGTATGGTGGGTATTTGACATTAACTGAGAGAAGACTGCATGTCCCTCTCTTTCTCTCTTTTTAAGCATCAATCAGTTTAACATATTAAAACCTGCAGCAATGAAGACTCAATCAAGCAAATGAAACTGAGCACACCCACTGACAGATATTTCCTGCCATAAAAATGCTTGCACATTGGATGGGAGGGAAGAGTCACACCCTAATAAAATCTAACAGAGAAAAAAATAAAAAGGGTTAAAAGGTAATAAAAGGATTATTATCAAGCTATATAGACTAAACCAAACCTTTAAGCGATATTTTATTGCATTAAAATGTGAGCTTTGATGATCCAGCTGGTGTTTTAACTGCTTTAGAGCCAAAATACTAACTTTTTTTTAAAACCCCTGTGTGTGCAGCTATATAACAGATGCTTGCTGTACGACATTCTTGAAATAAAGTTGCTTTCAAATAAGTTTCAGAAAATAGCTCTGCAATATCATTCCAAAAATAAATTTGCCACTTCGGCTCAAGACGGAAAGTAGGCTTCAAGTAATTAACAAGATACTTTCTTTGCAACTGCACCAGCATAATACTGAAGTAAACGCAGACAGTTTGCTACCTAGTGCTCTTAGAGGCTTCCATTCCTGTGATAACTCAATGAAACAAATTCAGTGTAATTTTCTTGAGAAAACAAAACTGATGAGTTGTAAGCTCTGGTTTTCTTCAGAAGACACTTCAAGTAAGGTTTTATATAGACATTTCTGGCACATGCATAGACCGCTCTAAAATGAGCACAGAACCTCTAGGCTAATCAAGGCAACAAAACTGTTACAGATGAACAACAAAAACTAGAAAAAGCAGTAATCAGGCTGATGACAACTCAGTTTAAATGCCAAAGTTCCTTCAAAGCAAAACTTCTAACACATCTCTCATGACCAAAAATAAACTCATTAAGTCTTGTTCTTGAAGTTGGTTTAAAATAGCATCTTTATATCCTGTATAGGTCTCATACAGCTCAGAAACTCCACAAAAAAACATCAAGCAGCTGATGCAAGCCTCCAATTTTCCAATAATACCTAGTGTTCCAGAAGGCCTAATGCATTATCCAAATAATGTGAATATGGCACGAGCCTTCCCTTGTAGGAACAGCAGCACTCTCACTTAGGGATGACAAGTAATTCTCAACATATCCCCTCATTAACCATTTTCTGCACTCCTGAATATGTCATATCGGTTTCCTCACCTGATAGGGACACGGGATGTGATATTCTCTGCAGCGTTCTTGAATCCACGTCGTCTCCCATACACCTCGATAAGCCTGCTCATAGAAATAGCAGCCAATTACAACCAACAGTGGCACGAGGTATAGAACACTGAACACGCCAATCCGGATCATGAACTTCACTAGTTTGTCCTGGTTCTCTTTCTCTAATGGGATTTCAATGCGAACCCGATTGAGAGAGATAATGCCAGCTAGCAGAAGGGAAACTCCAACAACAACATACAGGCAGAGAGGTGCAAGTACAAAGTATCTTAATGCATCCACATCATAGAGGCCAACAAAACATACGCCGCTAATATTGTCACCTTCAATTTTATTCATTGCTAAGAGGATGATGGTTAGAGTTCCTGGAATGCCCCAGGCACTGGCGTGGAAGAGCAACGCTTTCTTCTCGATGGCTTCACTGCCCCATTTTGGCACAGCTGCCAAGAACCACGTGATGGTAAGAATGACCCACCAAACACTGCCAGCCATGGTAAAGAAATAGAGCACCATGAAAAGCATGGTGCAAGCTTTGTTGTGAGAGCCCTGGGTCACTGTGGAAGCCTTGTACTGGGCAGGGCTAGATGCATTACACGCTACTCGGTCTTCAAGCAGAAAGCCAATGAAGAAAATTAACGACACCATCATGTAACAGACAGCATAAAATATTATCGGTCTTTCTGGATAGCGAAATCTTGTGACATCGATCAGAAAAGTTAAAAAAGTAAACAAGGTAGCAGAAAGGCAGACGATGGAGATCACTCCGATGAAGTAGCGAGCAAAGGAGAGCTCTTCACGCCGAAAGTACATATTTGGGCAAGGAGGGGAACAGTCCCGTACCCTCAGGAAAGAGTAACCCAGATCAGGGTCTATTTTCAACTCCCGAGGACACCAAAAACCGTAATCCCTCTGTACTGCCATAGGGGCCTCTTCTGTGGGCTCCCCAGCTAAATTGAGGTCAACAAGACGAGGATATGGCTCATCACAATCTGGGAATCTAAAAAGTAAGAAAAGAATTACTTACAAGGAATATACACATACTTTGCAAAGACCAGTAACTTTATTTATATGTCTGACTTTAGACACACCAACTGCAGCGAAAACAAAGACAATCCAAATAACAGGTAATCCATGAAATACTACACTATGTTTAAACAAACTCGAGAACTCACTGTGCCAGAATGCAGTGGATGTTGAAACTATAAAATACATTTAAAAATAAACCAGAGAAATAAATTGACAAGGGACCCATTGGGGCTTTAAGCATAAAGGTGAGGATACAAAACCCACCTCAGGAAGTCTATAAATTTAGGCTTACTGTAAACTGAGACTCTGTGCCCAAGGAAGCATGATTCTATGAGAACATTTTTAAAACCTTTTCCTAAGCAACAGTACTAGCTGCTATCAGACAGGACAGTGAGCTAGACCAAAAATCCAACGTAACACTGCTACTAGCATTAATAAACTGAAATTATGATGAAGTTATTTCTGTAATTAAGTAAAGCTCTGACTGGAGGCTAAGGGCTGCTGAAGTTTTGAAGGAAAGACTGGAGGGATTCCATACATAGCTGTTCTGTTCTTCCCTCTGCTAGATGTTACTGCCTCAGCAAGCACAGCATAAGCTAAGTATGGCTGTTCCTCTGCCGCAGTTCATGTTCTGGCACAATGGCACTAACACAGCATCAGCAAAGTTTTAGTAGTTTTAGCTCTGGTTTTAAATTTTCACTACCTGGGCCTTACTAAGGAGATGGGAGGATCTGAAGGGCCCAGCCATCTGTTTGGAGTATGGAGCTTGAGTGATCTCTGATCCAGATTATCAGGACCTAAAAGCATCCTCTGACTTACTCTGTTGCTAAAAGAAGTTTCAATTGTTTTTCACTCTCTCTAATTCAACTGTACGAGAGACTATTTCTTCCTGTTTGTGCTCCTGTATTTTATTAGTTGTTGGAGTCACTTACAAAAAGAAAAAGCATAAAGATACTGTTTTCAATTTCATATATATTTGTTTCAAATAGATTGGAACATCATTGAATACTTTTCTATAAAGTTACATGCGTAATGTAAAGCTGAAAACATCTGTTTGCACACAAGATCCACAAGAGGTAGATGCTCTGAAAACAGAGCTTTGAGATTTTATGCACTCATCAAAACCAGTCATCTCCCCCTTCAGAAAAAGAGACTATCCATCTCTAGTGTATGTAATTTTGCCTAACTCTCAGAGAAATTTATGACAGTATCACCTATGAAACTTCAGTATTACAGAGAAAACCAAGTCAGCATAAATGACAGAGAAGAAGAAAAACAGACGATATATTCATTCATTTAAGAATACGCATGTGCAGTTTACAGTAATTGCCCACAGAAATTTTCAACTTATCTCCTGGGCAGATGATAGAAATACGAATTCAGTTTCCACCCCAGGAAACAGACTGTTAAACAAATGCAAGGGAAAATAAGAGCACTTGTAATGGAACACATTTAAAATGTCTGTTTCAGATCATAAAACATCCTAGATGGTACTGAAATTTTATCCTGTGATTCCGAAAAATACAGATTTGCTCACCTGGTGCACTCCATATCCTCAGGCCAAGAGACCCCAAACATCTCCATGAGTTTGGAGCACTCGCTGTATGCTCTTTGACAGAGTCTACGACAAGGGAGAGTGACACGGCCATACTCCATGCACACAGGAGCATAGAGGGCACAAAGAAACGGTCGAAAATCTCGGGAGCATTCCAAATTCACCATTGGATGAAACGGCTAGAAAAGAAAGGGGAGAATTCAACAGCTACAAACAGCAGTTTTGTAGAACACTTCAGCAGTAAGCTGTAATTTGTCTCATGAGATGTTAGAGCTTTCACAACCATAACCATCACCACCTTTTTCTGAACTTGGTCTGTTGGAAGAAGTGATCATCATAATATAGTGCTTACATATTTTAGGAAGACAGGCAATCAAGAAGCCTAGGGACAATGACAAAGATTCACAAGGGACATTTATGTCCTTGATTTGCATTAAAATCAATGGGAATCAGACAGCTAAACACCTTTGAGGACGTAGCTTCACACTCTCCAATAACAGTCATATAAAGTTGATTCCTTTTAGTGCTTGTGTAACTGACAGATGCATCATGAATTCCCAGCAGCTTATTTAGTAGGATAATATCAAAAACTTGCATTCAGTTGATGATACTGCAATCTGAAGAACGTTAGATAAAGCAAGATTCCTTGACAGTCTACAAATATAGCATACTGTGATCTTTCAAACATTATTTTCAGATCACGACATAATAATTGTAAATAATCTCTCTATTTCTTGAATTTCTTCAGCAGGTCAGTGTTCTTCCTATCTTTTTACAAAACGCAGCCACAAGACATTTTCCAATGTGTTCCTCCCACAGCATCTTGTCCAACTGTAGAGAACGCATCTGTTAAAATTTCAGTTCTATCATCAGAGTATCTGTAGACAGAAAACAATCTCAACACACATGCTATCATTGTTATATAAATTCTCATACAGACATAGAACTTTTCTAGCTTCCAGAACAGGGCTGTAACCACAGTGAAGTCACATTAAGTATGTAATTTCTTGACTAACCATCAGAAAACACTGTGAAATGAAAGTCTGAAAAAAATAAGTCAGAAAAAATAACTCCTTGGAAGCACCGAGAGAAAAATCTATCACAATTAGCCAATATACAGCTGTTCTTACACATTTCTGAAGATGAAAAAGAAGGGAAAAAAAGTAGGACAGTGTCCTAGGTTATGATGTAAGATGTGCC